GACAGGACCAAACATGTGGATGTGAGATTTCATTTTGTCTAAGATCTAGTTGCCCAAGGATTGATCATCTTGACGAAAGTCCCAACTAAAGATAATCCTGCTGATATGGGTACCAAGATTGTCACTACTGCTAAGTTCAACCATTGCTTGAACCTACTGTTTGTCAAGTAACAGGCAGTAACCGAGCTATGAAGGGAGTTTAGGATTTTGAGCTGCACTTAGGAAATCTGGGTTGTAAAAGTTTTGAGCTTCAAGGTGGAGAATTGTTAATATCCGAAGCACAAAATGTCAACGTTTCTACAGAAGATCACTAAACAAAAACGCTGTCGTTTCACTGCAAATGAGAACAAATCTCAGTTGCTGAAATGAAGAAGATCTAACGGTCAGGATTAGCTCATGAAGTCAAACTATATAAAGGAAGAGTTCTTTACATAGAAACGAATTTTTTTTGCTTCTTCTCTTTGTGCGACAGATCGAGTTTTGCTCTTGTGTTGTGAGTTTGTTGTCAATCTTGTTTTCAGTTTAGAATCTGTGTAATCTTGGGTGAGGGTGGGTTTTTCCTTCAGGTTTAGAAAGACTGGGTCAGGTCTTCTCTAGAGATTTCAGGTTTGTGTGAGTGGGTTAAAGATTGATATTTGGTGAATCGTTGAGAGCAGTTTGTAATCTATAATAACAGTTTATTCCTAGTGCAGTAAGCCCTAAAAAATTCCTGGAGCTCAACGTGGATGTAGTCTTTCTATTGTGGAAAGGTGAATTACGGTATATTTGGTGTTCTTGAGTTGATTGATTTTGATTCTGAATTGCGTGTGTGTTATCTGTTTTGTTTGTGTGTGTGATTAGGCAGAGAATTGATTGTGGATTTACATAACAAATACTTTTGTCACCAGCTAAATTAAATTGGAATCTGATCATGAAATAAATGAAAGATTTAATCTAAAAGTAAATCAGTTTCAATGGTGAGTTTATTGTGTAAATGAAAGTGTGGAGAGTTTAAAAAAAAAAAAATGAACTAATAAGGGTTTGGAGCATATATGGATCCTGCATCTACAAAGTACAAACATTTACATATCGTAGAATTGATGCATAAAGACTGAATCATGTTCAAGTAAAAAGTTTAATCACCAGTTGAGTTTTTCATCATAATGAAATACACAAAACTACAAAATAATAGAGTTCTAAAGCCTTGAAGTCTTAATCACATACATGATACTAATAGGACTCTTTAAATATTTTAATATAAAATTATAATATTTTTGGGATTGGGACACGGAGGGGCGAAGAGAGCAATCCTCATCTTCGAATTTTATGTTATAATCCCCTCCTCCAATGGCAATGGGACGGACACGTATCCTCGCTTGCCCTAGTCACACCCCCCAAACATATATCCAATAAAAATAAAAATTGGAGCCCAAACCCAAAACATAAGATGCCCAAGTGTCAGTCTGTACAAGCCTCAAATTGTCAATTACTAAAGGGCAAGGGTTTCTTCAAACGTAACATTTATCACTTGTCACGATCAGATATGATGATAGTAAACTATCATTCTCTGCTCCTTTGAAAGTTGGATATTTGTTCCATTAATTAGATTGTAGAGCCCAGAAGCCATCTCTTTACATCTGGCCGCAAATCCATTAGCGGCTTCCTGGCACTTCCTTTCCATACAAGAATAAATTTTGATCCTTCCGCGCTTTTGCATAGTTTTAAGATCAATTTGGGAACTACCAGTCAGTCTCAGCTTCAACTACAAGTCTTTCAAGTATTTTCAGGTTCTACATTCTTCTATCACCCCTCTATAATTAAGTCCACTAACTTTGACATGGAACCCCATCACATAATTACTTTCTGTTCATAGAATTCTCAAGGAAATGACTCATCATAGGCATCCTCCACCACCACCACCAGCAGACCCCTTTGGGCCCCCGCCTCCACGTCCACCACCACCAGATCCCTTTGCGCCACCTCCACCCTCAGGACCTCCAGGGCCACCACCACCCTCTGTCTACCAGCCACCTCCACCAGGGCCACCTCCTCCGGGTCCTCCTCCTCCATTTGCTCATCCTCCGCCTCCAGGTCCTTCGCCTCCAGGTCCACCGCCTCCGCCTGGGTCTCATCCTCCTCCTCCACCTTATTAGCGTTGCTCATAACTTTGATATGTATCTGTATGGTTATTCAGTCTTAATGGCATTCAGTGACTGAATAAACATTGTATCTGTATGGTTATGATTATATAGGGTATAGTCTTGAATGCAGTGTACCAGTGCATGGAAAAGTTTTAATATAATGTCAATTTCTTGTCTGTTTCTTTGCTAATCAATTCAATAATACGATTCATAGGAATAATTCTGATAAATCATAGTGATCAGAATTACATGTTCATCAATAAAATTCTACTTCTTTAGTTCACTCTTTGCATTATGATCAAGTACCGTATTCAAATATTAATTTTAAGTACATATATTCCATTTTTCATATATATAAGAATTACACGCCTGTTTCACTGCCTAAAGAATTAAACTTGTTTATGTTTTGTATTGAATTGTTCCCATTAATTTCTTATCTACAAAAAATGTTTACATGACTTTAGACGCACAAAGACTATAGCTGCAGGATCATATGCTACATAATTCTTTCCAAGTTTTCTCTTCTAAATTAATAATTAAGTCATTACGATGGCCGTGTGCTCAAGTCTTGTAGTATTCTGAAACTAGGACTGGACAAACTGGGGGCTCGGGGTGATCATTTCAGGTATCTTGCATTTTTTTAGAGAACTGAAACTAGCTAGTTCTGGTTTCGAGTATCTAGGTTACTTTCCCCTATATTAAATAAAATGACAAATACGTTCTCAAATTTTACAAAAATTACAATTCAGTTTAGATCCTTATTTGAATACCTAGACCTCGGTTCCAATTTTAGTTCCGGTTTCAGTTCCTAGTTTCAGCACCGTAATAACTAGAATTGTATCTGAGAATTTTTAATTCTAATTTTTTAGAACAAAAACCAGATTATAATAAGGTCAGTTTTGATTCCAATTCTACATTTTAACCATGCTCACCTTTTAAGACAAACGAGTTAATTAAATAAAAAGTTAACGTAAAAAATGTTAATTAATTGGGAACGAGAAGCCACGTATAAATAAATATACTGTAATAAAACGCTGTTAACTTGACGTATCGTAATAGAATTGATCTCGCAACTCCCACGGCGGTGGTTTAAAGATTGGCTGAGGTGATAGTCAAACTTTCTACATGTGATTTTATCTGCTGACACGTAAATCTCTCTCTTTCAAGAAGAAGAGATTATTATAAAGTACATAGAATTACATGCAGTTAAAACACGGCACGTGGGATTGACTGTTTGACTACAGCAATAGCCCAGCCGTTGGATTCTTCTTGGCTAAGTAAAAATATACACGTCTTCACCTAAGAGTCAATCAACTAATAGTCAATTGACATCTAGAAACTTCTTATTCTAATTTCTATATAACAACTTCAAACCTTTTGACATCAAAATCCAGATCACCATTTCTCTTCTTTCTCTTTCACTTATCAACTAACTTTCAAAACATGCCATTCCACAGACACCCACCTCCGCCACCGCCGCCCGACCCTTATTCTCCTCCTCCAGGACCACCACCACCACCATACCTTCGTGGTCCCCCGCCTCCACCTCCACCGCGTCCTGAATTTTATCCTCCTCCTCCACCACCAGGTCCTCCCCATCCTCCTCCACCTTTTGCACCACCTCATCATCATCATCCGCCACCCCCCGGTCCTCCACCTCCATACTTTGATCCCTACAGACCACCTCCTCCGTGGCAGCGCCCTCCTCCTCCCCCTTACTAGCTCGCTTGCATGCTAAGTATATGATTTTCAATAATTACTTTACTTCTCAGTGAAGGGAAGGCAATAAAGCAAATAACAAGTATCGGTGTGTATGTGATAGATCATGCATGGTGCTGATCAGAGGCTGGTCGGCGGGCGGGCTGGCACCTTGGGATAAAGAAAGAAAAAGGTTCATGTATTTTGCTTTTCTTGGAAAGGGATCGAATTTCCTTTCTGCTAATTTTCTGTTGGACTTTTAGAATATAATAGTACTTTGCTTTATATTATGAAAAACAAAAAAAAAAAAAATTATAAATTGCTGTAAAGAATTTTATGTATTTTAGTTCGGACTTGTTGGTAGTCTTTATTCTTCTCTTGACTCAATAGTGTTTTTTTGTGATATCTAAAGAATGACCTAAAATATCCCAAAAGCAGAGTAAAAGATATTGGTCCTGAAACTGTAATTACACCGATCAGTAGCTGAGTTTGTTTGATTTATTATTCTATTTCCTCCGTAGCCTTGTTTGTTTGCAAGCTATATGTAGCGATCTGTAAGCTTAAAATGTTTCAATTTGTTCTGGTAGTGAAATTGTGACCTACCCTTGATTTTGCTTTAGATTAGAAACAAAAGAAGAGCGGCAGGGAATGATGTTTGTATAATTTTGTATAATGGAGATGAATCGACTTAAATTCTGATTTTACCAGTTGTGAAAGCCATTGGAAGAGGAAGTAATGATGTATGCACTTTGTATAACAGCATTGATGAGTAATTAATCCAATCCTTCAGGAAATAATTAGGGGTTGGATTTATTAACTATGAAGAAGAACCCATTGAACTAACAGATTATTTTGATATTTGATCTCATCTTCATGATAAGAAAGAGGACAGAAAAATACCTCTGCTTGACAGATCTTGCTTGTCCTGCTCCTGTTCGAGGTGTCACATTATGGTTCAATTAAAGACTTAATAATCATCCATGTATGAACTTGAAAACTAAATAATGAAGTGCTAGTCTACCACAAAGAGGAAGAGAGTCTATTACAACTGCAAATATAAAATCGAAGTCATCTTTCTTTTTAGTTTTTTGGTTTTCCAGTTAGTTTGCTCTGCAATTAAATTGATCTATTACAAATGTAACAACAGAACCTCGGGGTATAAAATGGCAGATAAACCTTTAGCTATCCTTCAAAGATTCTGATATCAGGAGAAGTGCTTCTGCCTCTATCCGGTTGGTGTTCAGCTGAAAATGTTCCCTCAAATATTCTCTCCCTTGCCATGATTGCCTGAGGAATGTCCACATGGAAATTAAAATCAGCCAACATTGTTTCTTTTGTCAAAAGTATCGAATGAAACTCTATTTGATTTCCAGGATATGGTAAGATAACATGATAGAATTTTATTTTCTTGCAAAAGCAGTCCCACATTGCAAGCAAGAAAATGGGACATGAAGGATTGAAAGAAGCAAACACTTCAGGAACAAAAGGTTGCAATGGAATTGGAACCTGTTTTTGCCAATTTGTGAAAGATGTTACGAGGGCAAGCAACATCGCTTGAACAGCTGAGCCTGTCACTATTCCAATCCAAAGGCCTTTCCCTCTAAGATGCAGAGCGAAACACAACACAGCAGCTACCGGAATTCCAACAAGATAATAAGCCCCAAGATTGACATAAGCTCCTATGCGCTGCCACCCACTTCCTCTAGCTACCTCTGATTCCAAAAATAAACTTGTATTATTGGTCTTTCTGTAAACAAGACTCAGAAAGACAATGATAAGTAGGTAAATATGTATTTACTTTTTGTAGAATGACTGGAAACCTACCAGAGAGTACAGCTTGCATGCTATCCATGATAACAGAGAGACAAAGCAGGGGAGCTAATTCTATGACATAATCAACAACTTCCTTGTCATTGGTGTATGCATATCCCAAAACATAGCGGCAGAAGAAGAGAGTTATGCTCACTATGACTGCCTCACTGACGGCAAGAATCATTACAACATAGACAGCCAATCGAGCTGCCCCTGGATTCCCAGCTCCTAGTTCATTTGAAACCCGAGTGCTAGAAATGGTGGATGCATATGTTTAAGCACATAGTTATAATCAAACATTATGTCCACACCTATACACATGCTTCTGAGAAAAGATATAGATCAAACCTTGCAGCAGCACCAAATCCACATGGTATAACGTAGTGTAAGGATGTAGTAATAAGGCTGCATATTAAAGATTAAAGGTCTCAATAAAATTCTATTTGAACTCCCTGAGTCAACAAACCTAAAATAACAGTTCTGGAATTAAGCATACCATATAGAAAGCACCGAAGTTTCAAGTTTTGAATTTGGTAAAAGTCCGGAGAGCAAGATGACAATCTCAAATGACCACCATTCAAGACTAGTTATTCACATGAAATGAACACATTATAAACAATTAAGAAAAGAAATTCTAACAGAATTAAACTAGCACATTTTCTTGTTGTACGGTGAAATCTAGTAATTACCATATCATTACAACAGAAGGAAGTGCGAAACGAAGAAACTCCTTAATGCTTGAGAAAATGTCACTCAAGATGAAAGTGCAGGTTTTCTCACATGATGAAGAGTATCTAATGTAAAGTCCAAGGACGATCACATTCAACCAATAAGATAGACACAGGGATAACGCTGCTCCTCTATTTCCCAAGTCCACCTTATATACTAGAGTCCAACAAAGGAGGATATGGGCACACAGAGTTGCACATGAGCTCAAGAACATTGGGAGAATCAAACTCTGAGACTGGAGGTAGTGAATTAGTGAACGAAGAACGGCAAATCCGAGTAGTGCAGGTATGAGACAAATGGAGTATTTGCAGGCCTCAGCTGAAACTTGAGGGTCTTGGCCTAACAGTACTAATATTTTGTCCATGAATATCCAAATAACAGATATTGGGAAACAAATTGGAATGAGAATAATTATGGATGAGTAAGTGTAGGTTCCAAGCTTATGATATTGCTTTGCTCCGTAAGCTTGTCCACAGAGAGTCTCCAATGCACAGGCCAATCCAAACTGGTCGATAGTTAAAAGATAATATCAATCATAGACTTGACAAGTTTGAATTAATTAACCTGCTGACTTGAAAACTCAAATATAACTCATGCACTCTATAAATACAAGAATCACATCCTGTCATTTTTCTTTGCAACAACATCAAGATAGATTCATTTTGCATTCAATTATAAACTGAATAAAGCAAATGCAGGAGAAATTGAGAAACAATATACCAGTGGACTGAAGCCAGTGACGTTGGTGAAAGAGGTGGCGATGGAGAGACTTGAGATTGAGAGTTGTCCAAGATGTCCCACCATTATCATAGATACAACTTGCATAAGGTACTGTGAAACAGTGACAGCCACCATAGGTGCTGCCAAGAAACTCAACTTCTTTAGCTCTTCCAAAAAGGCAGCCCTTGTTACAACCTTCCATATCTTCTCTTCCCTCTTAGGCAAATTTTCCTCTTCCATTTGCCTCTTTATCACTGCCTATATGTTCTCAGCTAACAAACTTATTCTATTCATTGTTTTCTGTTAATGATAACTTAACTATAAAATATGTGCTCGGAGTTGGATCTCATAAACTCGCACATGCATTGTGTTTTCATGCAGTCTATGTGAATATGTGAATGTTTAAAAAATTAGATAAGGGCAGACATTTTGGATTTAGGCTTGGCTTTAAACACATTATAAACTATATCGGATTGCCACCATTATTTTAATTTTAGGAAGGTAATCCAGTAGTTAAGCTTCCACTACCATGGTATTGTTTTTATTCTTCTTTAAACTTACACAGGAATATATGTCTATATCAAAATTTAAAATAGTTCAATTGTTACAATGTCTATTAATTGGTCAAGCCAGAAACGAAACTGAAGCCTGATTCTTTACTCCAAAGATTCTGATATGAGGAAATGAACTAAATTAATTGGTACAGTGACCCTTAATTCTACATCAAACAAATCTGTTTTCAGCAGAAATCGTTTCCTCAAATATTTTCTCCCTACCCATGGTTGCTTGTGAAAAATCCACATGCAAATTCAAATCAACCAACATGTTAAAAGGATTTTTAACATCGAGTTGCTTTCTAGGAAATGGTGGATATAGAGCAAAACGAAAATTTATTTTCTTACAAAAAGCAATCCCAGCAAGCAAATGGAGGACCAAGGGTGAAAAGAATAAACTCTTGATGCAGAAAATGTTTCAATTAATGGACTTGGAACCTGTTTTTGCCAATTTTTTAAAGAGGTTATCATGGCAAGCAAAATTGCTTGTACAGCTGAGCCAGTCATTATCCCAGTCCAAAGGCCTTACCTCTAAGATGCATTGCGAAACAAAGTAGAGCAGCTGCAGGATTTCCTACAAGATAATATGCCTAAAATTTACATGGGTCGGCTGAACTAGTGATCGAATAATAGCAAATGCAAGTAGTGCAGGTAATGGAGTATTTGCAGGCCTTAGCTGAAACTACCAGTCCTAATATTTTGTCCATGAATATCCAAATAACAGATATTGGGAGACAAACTGGAATGAGAATAATTATTTATAAGTATAGGTTCCAAGCTAATGATATTTGCATATTGCTCTTCTCCGTAAGCTTGTCCACACAGTTTCCAATGCACAGGCCAATCCAAACTGCTCAAAAGTATGAAGTTACTGTCAATAGACTGAATAAAATTTGAACCCAATTCAGAATCTCCAAAAACACACACATATTTATAATTTATAAACTACAGATCAATCCAAATTTTCCATCTAGTCATTTGTCTTGATAATGATAGACTCATTTTGCAGGCTAATTTATTTCATTTAATGGACATAATTTGGAGAAGTTTGTGCAATTTCCCCCAAATTATTCAGTGCTAATAATGCTAGGATAGTCCAAGAATGGAGTAAACTCATATACTAGTTAGAATAATACATATTTCAAGCTCAACCAGACTCAATTATACATATTCAAGCATGTTGGAGTTGTCTACCACTTCAGCATTAATGGGTCACGCAGACACATTCGGGGGTTTCACTGCCCGGTCAATAATACTAGGTTTTAGTTTTTAAATCTAGTATATAAACATACTTTTATCTTGTAATGAGTGATAGCAAACAGTATGACAAATTCATTCATTATAAACGAGAGAGATGGAATAGTATTTTATTAATATTGACTCTGTTGAATATAGCATATTAATTAGATAAATCAAGGTAAAATCGTGTATATTTCTTCTTTTTGTTTATTGTTTATGATTTGTGTATATCTATCTATTCGCTCAAAGCATACCTTGGACATTGGTCTGGGTTAAGCCAAACTCATGCCATGCCATCTTATTACAGAAGTAACTAAAATTTAGCACCTAAACCAATTTTTTACAAGTCCAACTAATGGATATTGGTCTTACTGAAATCCAGTTCTTTCACACTAGCAAACTAGCCAATGGAATTAGTTTATAAATTAATATTTTTAATTGAAATTCTTGACAAAAACTTGGAAGATAATATTGCCTAGTAAAGCCCAATCTAGTTTTCCAATAACTTGAAGAGTAAAGGATAGTTAGTAGTTACAATCTCAATTCTCACCAATGATTTAGCAAGGTCAATTTTAATTGTTTGGGCACTTTCACCAACAGTCAAGACAAAAGAGTCTCATTGCAATATCTTGTCAGGATACTCATTAAGAATAGGAAAAGACAATAAAGTGGGGGATTAGAATAAAAATATTCTCTCCCTTGCCATGATTGCCTGAGGAATGTCCACATGGAAATTAAAATCAGCCAACATTGTTTCTTTTGTCAAAAGTATCGAATGAAACTCTATTTGATTTCCAGGATATGGTAAGATAACATGATAGAATTTTATTTTCTTGCAAAAGCAGTCCCACATTGCAAGCAAGAAAATGGGACATGAAGGATTGAAAGAAGCAAACACTTCAGGAACAAAAGGTTGCAATGGAATTGGAACCTGTTTTTGCCAATTTGTGAAAGATGTTACGAGGGCAAGCAACATCGCTTGAACAGCTGAGCCTGTCACTATTCCAATCCAAAGGCCTTTCCCTCTAAGATGCAGAGCGAAACACAACACAGCAGCTACTGGAATTCCAACAAGATAATAAGCCCCAAGATTGACATAAGCTCCTATGCGCTGCCACCCACTTCCTCTAGCTACCTCTGATTCCAAAAATAAACTTGTATTATTGGTCTTTCTGTAAACAAGACCCAGAAAGACAATGATAAGTAGGTAAATATGTATTTACTTTTTGTAGAATGACTGGAAACCTACCAGAGAGTACAGCTTGCATGCTATCCATGATAACAGAGAGACAAAGCAGGGGAGCTAATTCTATGACATAATCAACAACTTCCTTGTCATTGGTGTATGCATATCCCAAAACATAGCGGCAGAAGAAGAGAGTTATGCTCACTATGACTGCCTCACTGACGGCAAGAATCATTACAACATAGACAGCCAATCGAGCTGCCCCTGGATTCCCAGCTCCTAGTTCATTTGAAACCCGAGTGCTAGAAATGGTGGATGCATATGTTTAAGCACATAGTTATAATCAAACATTATGTCCACACCTATACACATGCGTCTGAGAAAAGATATAGATCAAACCTTGCAGCAGCACCAAATCCACATGGTATAACGTAGTGTAAGGATGTAGTAATAAGGCTGCATATTAAAGATTAAAGGTCTCAATAAAATTCTATTTGAACTCCCTGAGTCAACAAACCTAAAATAACAGTTCTGGAATTAAGCATACCATATAGAAAGCACCGAAGTTTCAAGTTTTGAATTTGGTAAAAGTCCGGAGAGCAAGATGACAATCTCAAATGACCACCATTCAAGACTAGTTATTCACATGAAATGAACGCATTATAAACAATTAAGAAAAGAAATTCTAACAGAATTAAACTAGCACATTTTCTTGTTGTACAGTGAAATCTAGTAATTACCATATCATTACAACAGAAGGAAGTGCGAAACGAAGAAACTCCTTAATGCTAGAGAAAATGTCACTCAAGATGAAAGTGCGGGTTTTCTCACATGATGAAGAGTATCTAATGTAAAGTCCAAGGATGATCACATTCAACCAATAAGATAGACACAGGGATAACGCTGCTCCTCTATTTCCCAAGTCCACCTTATATACTAGAGTCCAACAAAGGGGGATATGGGCACACAGAGTTGCACATGAGCTCAAGAACATTGGGAGAATCAAACTCTGAGACTGGAGGTAGTGAATTAGTGAACGAAGAACGGCAAATCCGAGTAGTGCAGGTATGAGACAAATGGAGTATTTGCAGGCCTCAACTGAAACTTGAGGGTCTTGGCCTACCAGTACTAATATTTTGTCCATGAATATCCAAATAACAGATATTGGGAAACAAATTGGAATGAGAATAATTATGGATGAGTAAGTGTAGGTTCCAAGCTTATGATATTGCTTTGCTCCGTAAGCTTGTCCACAGAGAGTCTCCAATGCACAGGCCAATCCAAACTGGTCGATAGTTAAAAGATAATATCAATCATAGACTTGACAAGTTTGAATTAATTAACCTGCTGACTTGAAAACTCAAATATAACTCATGCACTCTATAAATACAAGAATCACATCCTGTCATTTTTCTTTGCAACAACATCAAGATAGATTCATTTTGCATGCAATTATAAACTGAATAAAGCAAATGCAGGAGAAATTGAGAAACAATATACCAGTGGACTGAAGCCAGTGACGTTGGTGAAAGAGGTGGCGATGGAGAGACTTGAGATTGAGAGTTGTCCAAGATGTCCCACCATTATCATAGATACAACTTGCATAAGGTACTGTGAAACAGTGACAGCCACCATAGGTGCTGCCAAGAAACTCAACTTCTTTAGCTCTTCCAGAAAGGCAGCCCTTGTTACAACCTTCCATATCTTGTCTTCCCTCTTAGGCAATTTTTCCTCTCCCATTTGCCTTTTTATCACTGCCTATGTGTTCTCAGCTAACAAACTTATTCTATTCATTGTTTTCTGTTAATGATAACTTAACTATAAAATATGTGCTCGGAGTTGGATCTCATAAACTCGCACATGCATTGTGTTTTCATGCAGTCTATGTGAATATGTGAATGTTTAAAAAATTAGATAAGGGCAGACATTTTGGATTTAGGCTTGGCTTTAAACACATTATAAACTATATCGGATTGCCACCATTATTTTAATTTTAGGAAGGTAATCCAGTAGTTAAGCTTCCACTACCATGGTATTGTTTTTATTCTTCTTTAAACTTACACAGGACTATATGTCTATATCAAAATTTAAAATAGTTCAATTGTTACAATGTCTATTAATTGGTCAAGCCAGAAACGAAACTGAAGCCTGATTCTTTACTCCAAAGATTCTGATATGAGGAAATGAACTAAATTAATTGGTACAGTGACCCTTAATTCTACATCAAACAAATCTGTTTTCAGCAGAAATCGTTTCCTCAAATATTTTCTCCCTACCCATGGTTGCTTGTGAAAAATCCACATGCAAATTCAAATCAACCAACATGTTAAAAGGATTTTTAACATCGAGTTGCTTTCTAGGAAATGGTGGATATAGAGCAAAACGAAAATTTATTTTCTTACAAAAAGCAATCCCAGCAAGCAAATGGAGGACCAAGGGTGAAAAGAATAAACTCTTGATGCAGAAAATGTTTCAATTAATGGACTTGGAACCTGTTTTTGCCAATTTTTTAAAGAGGTTATCATGGCAAGCAAAATTGCTTGTACAGCTGAGCCAGTCATTATCCCAGTCCAAAGGCCTTACCTCTAAGATGCATTGCGAAACAAAGTAGAGCAGCTGCAGGATTTCCTACAAGATAATATGCCTAAAATTTACATGGGTCGGCTGAACTAGTGATCGAATAATAGCAAATGCAAGTAGTGCAGGTAATGGAGTATTTGCAGGCCTTAGCTGAAACTACCAGTCCTAATATTTTGTCCATGAATATCCAAATAACAGATATTGGGAGACAAACTGGAATGAGAATAATTATTTATAAGTATAGGTTCCAAGCTAATGATATTTGCATATTGCTCTTCTCCGTAAGCTTGTCCACACAGTTTCCAATGCACAGGCCAATCCAAACTGCTCAAAAGTATGAAGTTACTGTCAATAGACTGAATAAAATTTGAACCCAATTCAGAATCTCCAAAAACACACACATATTTATAATTTATAAACTACAGATCAATCCAAATTTTCCATCTAGTCATTTGTCTTGATAATGATAGACTCATTTTGCAGGCTAATTTATTTCATTTAATGGACATAATTTGGAGAAGTTTGTGCAATTTCCCCCAAATTATTCAGTGCTAATAATGCTAGGATAGTCCAAGAATGGAGTAAACTCATATACTAGTTAGAATAATACATATTTCAAGCTCAACCAGACTCAATTATACATATTCAAGCATGTTGGAGTTGTCTACCACTTCAGCATTAATGGGTCACGCAGACACATTCGGGGGTTTCACTGCCCGGTCAATAATACTAGGTTTTAGTTTTTAAATCTAGTATATAAACATACTTTTATCTTGTAATGAGTGATAGCAAACAGTATGACAAATTCATTCATTATAAACGAGAGAGATGGAATAGTATTTTATTAATATTGACTCTGTTGAATATAGCATATTAATTAGATAAATCAAGGTAAAATCGTGTATATTTCTTCTTTTTGTTTATTGTTTATGATTTGTGTATATCTATCTATTCGCTCAAAGCATACCTTGGACATTGGTCTGGGTTAAGCCAAACTCATGCCATGCCATCTTATTACAGAAGTAACTAAAATTTAGCACCTAAACCAATTTTTTACAAGTCCAACTAATGGATATTGGTCTTACTGAAATCCAGTTCTTTCACACTAGCAAACTAGCCAATGGAATTAGTTTATAAATTAATATTTTTAATTGAAATTCTTGACAAAAACTTGGAAGATAATATTGCCTAGTAAAGCCCAATCCAGTTTTCCAATAACTTGAAGAGTACAGGATAGTTACAATCTCAATTCTCACCAATGATTTAGCAAGGTCAATTTTAATTGTTTGGGCACTTTCACCAACAGTCAAGACAAAAGAGTCTCATTGCAATATCTTGTCAGGATACTCATTAAGAATAGGAAAAGACAATAAAGTGGGGGATTAGAATAAGCCTCTTAAAGCATATATTCTCATCACAAATATGGAACATTTATCATATGGGTTCCTGATTCCAATTAATAAATAATAAATAATGCTGAATTTCACTAATTTATTGACTCGAACAAGTTAGTGGATCTAAAAGCCAGATCTAGAATCAATTCATCTTGGGCAAGTTATTAGATTTTTCAATTGTTGTCCCTGCAACAATGAGTTATAAGAACATGAAAGAATTGAAGCATAAGCCTAAGTACAAAAATGTTGATTGAGTTACATTAATATATCAGAATCAAAATTTAACAGCAAGGAAAAACATAACAGAAGCAGAAAGGCTTTTGAACGGATAGAAAATGGAAGAAGCAGAAATATATATTTCTTTTTTGTTGGTAAACAGGTGTCCAAACCAGCTTATGCATATCTCAACTTTAAAACCCTACAAGCCCAAAAAACTAAGTAAGTCATAATATGTTAGATAACCTCAAGGTTTGAACTCAAAAACTGAATTAAGGGAGCAAATTTCTTTAATTGTTAGGTCAACTCCTTGGAGTTAAGTAGAAAGAAATTAACTAGTAGAATGAAGCCAGTGACATTGGTGAAAGAAGAGGCGATGGCTACACTTGAGAGCGAGAGTTCTCCAAGATGTCCCACCATCATCATCGATACAACCTGCATAGGATACTGTGAAACAGTCACAGCCATCATTGGAGCCGCCAAGTAACTCAACTTCTTCAGTTCTTCTAGAAAGTCAGCCCTTGTTACACCATTCCATATCTTTTCTTCACGCCTCTTATGCAATGGTAATTCCTCTTCCATTTTCTCTGTTGTTCTTCAGTATTTGCCACACTAATTCCATATGACACAAATAACAGATATATTAACCTTGCGGCAGCACTAATTCCATATGCACATTAGTTTAATAAAGCGCATAGTGACAATCACAAATTATCATATATTGTTCATTTTGCTCTCATTTTCTCTGTCGGCCTACCACTACTAGTATTTTGTCCATGAATATCCAAATAACAGATATATTGGGAGACAAATTGGTATCAGAATAATTATTGATAAGTATAGGTTCGAAGCTTATGATATTGCTCTGCTCCGTTAGCTTGTCCAAACAGAGTTTCTAATGCAGGGGCCAATCCTAACTGCCCAACAGTAATTTAAATGTACTGTTTAATTAAGAAACTCAAACAACACATTTGTTATTAACGACTAACTCCAGATAACAGAAGGGATTTTGATAAAGTGCACGAAGTGAATGAAAATGCAGGAGGTAGAAAGAAAAGTTTACTAGTGGAATGAAGGCCGTGACTTTAGTGAAAGAAGTGGCGGTGGCCACACTTGAGAGTGAGAGTTGTCCAAGGTGTCCTGCCATCGTCATTGACACAACCTGCATAATGAAACAGTCGCAGCCACTATTGGTGCCGCCAAATAACTCAACTTCTTCCCCTCTTGTACAAAGCCACTCCATGTTACAACGTTCCATCTGTTCTCAATTGTAATTCCTCTTCCATTTGTTTCTTATCTGTCTATTTTTTCATGGCCATCACAGTTATTGCAATGCTTCCATTATTAATGTAGAGACATATTTGGCTTCGCTCTCAGATCGGGTGACTTTTCATGTAGCCAAAACTGATGTTAATAGAAAAATGAATACTCTTCATTGTATCCTTGTGCCTAATAATTGGTGGTGTGTCCCGTGTAGAAGAGATCATTTGTGGTTCATTGCATCCATTATTAATGTACAATTGTATAAAAGATACATTTGGATTTGCTTTCGTAGTTATTGAGCCAGGCGACTTCATGCAGTTAAGACTTCCGTCAACAGAACATACTTCCCTTCTCTAGGATAGAGAGGGTCCGGAGAGAAGGTTTGGATAGAACTCATTTCCCATCTCTAGGATAGAGAGGGTTGTGAGAATTTTATCTCCTGATTCAAGTTTCAGAAGCAAAGGATTACCAGATAAAAAATGCTAAATACCGAAGAACAACAGAGAAAATGAGAGCAAAATAAACACTCTTAACTATTAAGATGCGGCAAATATATACAAACCTATGGCTATAATCCTAAGACATAATCTAATGGCTACAAGCGCAAGAACGTTTCTTGTAGACCAAGCTAAATCTCCAACAGTATATGATATGCCAATAATAGAATTGTCCTCTTGTATGAGCTGCAGTCAACTATGGCTGAGTCAAATGATAAAACAGGTCACATCAACTCTATTTGGATGGCTGATTCAGCTAGGTGCCATGTCATAGGACTCAGGCTGTGTTATAGGAGCAATACACAGAACAAGTCAACTTTGTTTGGATGGTTGAGTCAGTTGATCATCTCTAGATGGCTTCTCCTCTTTTCTTCAGCAAGGGCCAAAATACATCAACCCAAAACTTAGTGATGTGTGACAAGCGCGAGGCTTTGATATAATGATTAATGAATTTGGGTAAAACTTACTCTCGAAAGCTATCCAAATCCGCACATATGCCTTATAATATCTCATCAATTCAATGATATGTGACAAATTCAACTTATAAGTTATAACCATTTCAACTGTTAACACTGATTATTTTGTGGCCCAACCTGCAATTGCTTTACAAGAGGCATAATAGAAGAAGCTGGAAAAGTAGTCATCCTCTGCCATCACTTTTATCAACGACTAGAAGCAGAAATGAGAAAACTATGTTTGAAGATCAAAGTGTAATGTATAATAAATAAGAGAGACTAATATTTAACAAATAATTGAGGCCTAAGGTAACAAAATAACTTTTGGAGTAATTTTACATGAAGAAATCTTAAAACTTTATAAAAATTATTGGACCAAAAGCCTACTTTTGCCATTTGTTAAAGCCATTAAAAGACCAAGAAATAACGTTAGGATAGAGCATACCTGAGTAATCCAATTCTTTTTTGGATGTTGAGCAAAATTGCATGGCATTAAGACAATATTCCAATCACCTGCCTAACTAACTGACAACCGAAAAAATTAATTCAAAGCTTTCAATGGTTCTGCATTTTATTTTTTTTAGGTATCTGAGGTATACTACAGCACAAATCTGGTAGATACTTCTCATGCGACTCGAACATAGAATCCCCTAGGTACAGCTAACTTTAGTGATTAAAGGGTTTGTCATCCAATCACAAAGGGAGAGGTATAGTTCTGCATTTTAGTTAAATCAAAATCTATTACAAAGTAACAATGAGACCTTGTCGTAGAAATTGCCAGAGTATAACCGATAGCTTTCCTCCAAAGATTCTGATATGAAGAGAGCAAAATGAATTGTGCAATGACCTTAAATTTTGCGTCAAACCAATCTGTTTTAAGCTGAAAAAGTTTCCTCAAATATTCTCTGTCTAGCCATGGTTGCCTGTGAAATATCCACATACAAAATTCAAATCAGCCAACATATTAAAAGATGATATATAGTCAAGCAACTAAAAAAACTCCATTTACTGTTCAGGAAACGGTGGATATGTAACAGAAACAGCAATTCTTCATTTCCAACAAGCAAATGGAGCATGAAGGGTGAAAAAGAAAAACAAACACTTCAGGAAGAAAATGTTGCAATGAACTTGGAACCTGCTTTTGCCAATTTGTAAAAGAGGTTATCAGGCCAAGAGAAATTGTTTGTACTGCTGAACCTGTCATTATTCCAACCCAAAGACCTTTCCCTCTAAGATGCAGAATGAAACACAGAACGACAGCTGTGGGAATTCCAACAAGATAATATGCCCCAAGATTGACATAGGCCCCAATGTGCTGCCAGCCGCTTCCTCTAGCTACCCCTGATTCAAAGAAGAAAATTTTATTACAAGTATGTTTCTAAGCCTGACGCCAGAAGGCATTCATGAGTAAATGTTTACAGTGATGGAATGACAGAAAACTCACCTGAAAGTACTGCTTGTATGCTGTCCAATATAACTGCAGCACTAAGCAGGGGAACTAACTCTGCAACATAATTCACAACTCCCTTCTCATTGCTATAGGCATATCCCAAAATGTTGCGGCAGCAGAAGAGAGTTGTGCCCACTATGACTGCTTCAGTGACTGCAAGAACCATTACAGCACTGACAGCCAATCGAGCTGTCTGTGGATTCCCAGCTCCTAGTTCATTCGACACCCGAGTGCTACAAATTATGGATGCATATGTAACAATCAGGAATATGTAGGAGATAGACATATTTCATGAACAAGATATCGATCAAACCTTGCAGCAGCACCAATTCCATATGGTACAAAGTAGTGTAATGATGTAGTAGTAAGGCTGCACATGAAGATTAAAGATATATATTTAATCAAGTACATTTCTATTAAAACTCCCTAAATCAACAAACGCATTATCACAATTATAGAAGCATACCATATAGAAAAAACTGATGTTTCAAGTTTTGAATTCGGTAATAGTCCGGACAGCAAGATGAGAATCTCAAATGACCACCATTCAAGACTGAACACAGGCATCAAAGGAGCACGTTATAACCAATTGGGAATGAAAATTAAGAGAAGCAACTTCATTTATATGTTGCAAAGTGAAATGTGGTGATTACCAAAACATTATGAGAGAAGGGAGTGCAAAACGGAGGAACTCCTTGATGCTAGAGAAAATGTCATTCAAGAAGAGAGAGCGGGTTTTCTCACATGCTGAAGAGTATCGCATGTAAAGTCCAAGGATGATCACATTCGACCAATAAGATAGACCCATGGATAAAGCTGCTCCTATACTTCCCAAATCAAACTTATACACTAGAGTCCAAGAAAGGAGTATGTGGGCACATAGAGCTGCACATGAGCTTAAGAGCATTGGGAGAATCAAACTCTGAGACTGTAGGTAGTGCACTAATGATCGAAGAATAGAAAATCCGAGTAGTGCAGGTATGAGCCAAATGGAGTATTTGCAAGCCTCAGCTGAAACTTGAGGGTCTTGGCCTACCATTACTAATATTTTGTCCATGAATATCCAAATAAGAGATATTGGAAGACAAACTGGAATGAGAATAATTATTGATGAGTAAGTGTAGGTTCCAAGCTTATGATATTGCTCTGCCCCATAAGCTTGTCCACATAGAGTTTCCAATGCACAGGCCAATCCAAACTGCTCAAAGAAAAAAGTTATTGTCAATAATATGGACTAAATAAATTTGAACCCAATTCAGAATCTCCAAAAACATATTTTTGAAGTTATTAATTGCCAGTCAATCCACATATCCCATCTAGTCATTTGTCTTGGTAATGATAGTCAATGAACAGAGTAAACCCAGATGCTAGTTTGAAAAATACATGTTTTAAGCTCTACCAGAACACAGTTATACATATTCAGTATACTTTGGGTTAGCAAAATTCATTCCTAACCATCTTACCATAGAAGTAACTCAAAATTCACCACCTAAACCAATTTTTTACCTGTCCAATTAATGGATATTGGTCTTACTGAAATCTAGTTCTCTCACACTAGCAAACTAGCCTGTACAAAGTGGAATTTGGTTACGGGTAAATCAAGATTTTCAATTGAACTTGTTGACAAAAACTTAGAAGATAATGTTCTGCAGTAAGGCACAACGTCGTTTTTCAATAACTTGAAGAGTTAAAGGTAGTTGCAGTCTCACCAATGATTTAACAAAGTCAAGGTAAGACAAGAGTCTCATTGCAATCTTGTCGGGATACTCATTAAGAATTGGAAAAGACAAAAAGCAGGGGATTAGAATAAGCCTCTAAAGCATATATTCTCATCAGAAATATGCAATATTCATGCATAACACTTCCCGATTCCAATCAAACAATAATAAATAATACTGAATTTGACTAATTGGCTCACAGTCCGCCAAATTTATTGACTCGAACAAGTTATTGAATCTTAAAGCCAAATCTTGAATCAATTCATCTTGAACCAGTTATTACATCTTTTCATTTGTTATCCCAGCAATGAGTTATAAGAACATGAAAGAATTGAATTACATATATATATATCAGAATCAAACTTTAATAGAAAGAAAAACGCAACAGAAGTAGAAAGGCTTTTGAACTACCGGATTATGATTCAAGAACTGAATGAAAATGGAAGAAGTAGAAAGAAATTAAACTTAACTAGTGGAATGAAGCCAGTGACATTGGTGAAAGAAGAGGCGATGGCTACACTTGAGAGTGAGAGTTCCCCAAGATGTCCCACCATCATCATCGACACAACCTGCATAAGATACTGTGAAACAGTCACAGCCACCATGGGAGCCGCCAAGTAACTCAACTTCTTCAGCTCTGCTAGAAAGACGCCCCTTGTAACACCCTTCCATATCTTCTCTTCCGGCCTCTTCAGCAACAGTAATTCTAATTCCTCTTCCATTAGCTGCTTATCTCTATTTATTGGTTACTTCCTCACAAAGTTGTTTTCTTCTTCATTAATGATTGAAGCGTTCAACAAAAAAGATATGTTTCCATCTCAAAAGAAAGTTAAATTACTTATTGGGGCCAGTTGGAATAATAATCAAGTGGCATGGCGTTTTGTAAAAGTAAACAGTTTTGTTTGAACATTGTAAAGAGAAGTAAAAGTTGACCGGAAAGGGGATATTCCAGTGCAGAAAAAACCAGGATATGTGCCTTCAATTATTGGCTCTTCAGTCTTTGGATACTAAATCAACTCTATTGTGCGCCGGCGACTCTTGATCATGGACAGCATCATGAGTTTAAGAGTCTTGGGAGGTCGCATGATATAAAAACGCATTCATTATTTTTAATGTTTTACAAGAGTTTTGATTATTATAAACTTCACAATAATATTGAAAACACGGAATTCATTTATATTAAGTTATTTCACGGGAAGAAAAACTCATTTATCATATGCCAGTGACAATATTTTTAGACTAAAGTTAAAATGTGACAATGTTGTTAGATTTTTAGATTACAACATTTTAGAACGTTTAGAGCAAATCCTTTTTTTTTTCCTTTTTATTGGAAGTGTTCGGGTCAGCTTGCACGTATCTTAACTAATCTCTCAAGATTCTAGCAGAATCTAATGCTTTTTTTATATATAACTGAGAGTGTTCAGATCAGTTTGTACACACCCCAACTAATCTCTCAAGACCTTAGCCAAATCCAATGCAATGATAAAACCAATCCCGTGGGACTTTGAAACTATCGAATAGATAAAAACTCTAGTAATCACTACTACTAAATATCATAAAGATTCAGATTCAAAAAATCATATTAGATCTTCATCTTACTCTTTTCTTATAAAGAGACCCAACTTGAAAAATCATGGAAAATCGTCAATTACTCTTTTAACATAAAGACCACTCAAACCCTTTTCGAATAACACCACCCGACAGTTCCAAAGTACATCAATAATGACATATGCTAGATAAAAAAAAAAAAAAAAAAAAAAGGCTGCCATTAATTAAATGATTTGGATCTACTCTTTTTTTGTCACTTTATTCTTTTTTATTAAATATTACTTACAAAGTTGATTTCAGAACAAAAGTCTTCAACATAGACAGCTCAAATTGTAAACAAATTTCATTTCAAGAAGGTATATATGATACATATTTCCATTCCTCAAAATTGAGCTTGTCATCAATCTTTTAATCCACAGTGCTTGACTCAGCCGTTCTGTTCAGAACTCTCTTCAAACACTCGCTGTCTGGCCTTAGTTGCCTGCATTGATGGCTCAAGTTAAGTTCGACCAATGAATAAACGCAATAAAATGTAAAAACTTAGTGTAAGATCTACAAGGTAGATATAGAAGCTTTGAGTAAGAACCTGTTTTTTCCAATTTGTTAAACTTGTTATAAGGGATAGAAAAGTTAATTGCACAATTGAACCAGCCACTATTCCAATCCAAAGGCCTTTCCCTTTTAAATGTGCTACAAAACCCAGTACTCCAGCAATAGGAAGCCCAACCAGGTAAAATGCCCCAAGATTTATGTATGCTCCTATATGCTGCCACCCACTTCCCCTTGCAACTCCTGATGCAACACAAATTTTCAGAAATCACATTAATCTTTGAGGAAAATTGTTCACATTTACTAATACAAATGCACAAAAGATAATTATTCTAAATCAATGGCAGGTCTCCCAAGAAAATGAAACCATAGTGATTAAACAAAGACAATTATTGAAAGAAACATAAGAAACTAACCAGAAAGGACTGCTTGGAAGCTATCTGTAATAACTGAGAGACAAATCAGAGGGGTCATGACGGCAATATATTTAACAACTTGCTTGTCGCTGCTGTAAGCATATCCCAACACATTGCGGCAGCTGAAGAGCACAGTGCTTATTGTCACTGCCTCTATGGAAGCGAGAAACAGTGCAGCCCACACAGCCATTCTAGCCACTAGCGGATTTCCAGCTCCCAATTCGTTTGAAACCCGGGTACTAAAATTAATATTAGTTGAAGCCTTGTTTTGATCAGTACATATTTAGGCATATATGGACAAAAAAAAGTTTAAGTTAGGAGAAAGACCTTGCAGCAGCTCCAAACCCATAAGGTATGGTGAAATGCAATGTAGAGATTGTAAGGCTGATATCAGAACAATGACAACAATTTAGAGTTGAGTCAATAAGGGAAAGTAATTGTTTAAATGCATTAATTGGTGATGAAACAGAAGCAAACCATATAGAAAGCACTGAAGTCTCCAGCTTCGGATTTGGTAAGAGGCCAGATGATAAAGTTAGCAGCTCCATTGACCACCATTTAAGACTATATATAATAATCACCAGTATATATAGAGAGAGAAAAAGAGTTAAAAGGGAACAAAAAACAAATATGCAATTTTAAAGATTGAAAAGAGAAGGAAAATTTACCAAATCATTATAGCAGAAGGTACAGCCAAGCGAAAGAACTGTCCCATGGCAAGAAAAGTTTCTTTGGACAATGTCGCACGAGTTTTCTCACAAGCTGAAGAGTACATCGCATAAATTCCAAGCAGTATCACATTCAACCATGTGGATAAACTGAAGGCTAAAGCTGCACCAAGATTTCCCAATCCCAATTTAAACACAAGAATCCAACATACTGGTACATGGAAACATAGAATGAAAAATGAACTTGTGAGCATTGGAAGAATCAAACTCTGAGTCTGCAAATATCTAGTCAGAGGTTTAAGGACTGCACTTCCAAACAATGCTGGGATCAGCCACATCGAGTACTTTCGGGCTTCAAGTGAGATTGCAGGGTCTTGGCCGATAAGAATTAAGAATCTGTCCATAAAGATCCATAGGATAATGACTGGAAAGCAAACCAGGATGAGCGAAATGATGGCACTGTAAGTATGGATTCCAAGCTTTCGATATTGTTTCGCTCCATAAGCCTGTCCGCATAGAGTTTCCAATCCACCAGCCATCCCTGACTGGTTGAAGAATACAAAATTCAATAGTTTTCCTCTGTTAGCTCTATGTTTAAACTCAAAGAAATTAAAGAGACTTACGAGAAGACTGAAACCGGTGACATTGGTGAGAGAGGTGGCAATGGCAACACTAGAAAGAGCGAGTTGGCTCACATGTCCGACCATAACTACTGATCCTACTTGCAGAAGGTACTGAAACACAGAGACTGCCACCATTGGAGCCGCTATACGACTCCCCTTCTTCAGCTCTTCAACAAATCTTCCCAATCTCTTCTCCATGTCACCACTCTCGTTCACCACTTCTCCCATATCAACTTCTCTCTAATGTTTTAAAGTTCTCTCTTGTACACACTCAATCAAATATGACAGACAGTAATGAAGCAGCAGTCTGCAGTCTGGGGTTACCTTATAAAGAACCTTAACGCATCTGCATGTTGTTCTTTCCTTTGTCAGTACGTCAATTAAATATTAATGTTTGAGTAGTGTTTGGATAATTATTTAATCTAGTCTTACTCAGAACTTTGAGTTGGGAGTTTCGATAATATCTGCGTGTTTAATAAAGTTAACGACCTTTTCCCACACACGGTTTGCTTTAATGATTTCCCACCTAAAAATTTTCAAAATACCTCTTTCCCACCCAAAGTTTATACTCCGATCGATTATTGATTGATTCCGACACCTTTACGACCTCATATCATCACCATTCTCTTCTCTGATCATTACTCAATAAAATCCCTCAAACTTTTCTCTCTCCAATCTCACGAATTACTGGCAATCAAGCGATTTATGTAACGCACAATTGTCTCTTTCAAGTCAAATTCTGACCAATCCCGATCACTAAAATCCAAGTTGACACCACCAAAAAACTTACTAGAATCCACTCTTTAAAATTCCAAATAGTTTAGACTGAGTTATCTCTTTGTTGGCTGTCGAAACGGAAAGTGTATTCTAAATAGTAAACAAAATATAAACTTTGAGTGAAAAAGTGATATTTTGAAACTTTTTGGTAAGGCAAACCTTGGGTGGGTAAAGGTCGTTTATAGCAGAGGACAGTCGTATCTTCTAACAGAGGACTTGATTTTTGGCCAACTTACGAAGTTGAGAGACCAAGAGCACAAAATCATCACAACTGGGCAGAATCATGTCGTCTATTTTCAATTATTATTAATTATATTAGAAAATCTGGATCTTAAATATTATATCTCAATGCATATTTCGGTGATTAAATAAGGGAGAAAATACTAAATAACGTTGCTTAAAAAAAAATTCTTCCCCAGTTTTAAGAAAATAGCACTAACACCACATGTTTGGCCAATAAAGATTGGGTTATGAGCCAATCTTCATTGGCCAACTAAATATAACAATGTAAGAGATTAGAAGAATATTTTAAATAAATAATTGGTTTCTTTTATTAAACGACCGACCATTTTATTTAATAAAAATGTTGGTTATCTAAAATATCTTTTTTTCTCTTTGAACCGTTACATTTAATTGACAAAAATATCATTTTTGTCTAAAATTATTTTGTCAAATTTAATGAGAAAGTGTTTTCGTGTAGAGATGGGTGCGGGGCGAGGCCGGGGACCCCATTCCTAAGTCCCTTCCCCGACCCCTTGGAGGATCACCTGTCACCACCCTGTATGTGGGGATTTTACTAGGGGATATTCCCCCGATAATTCCCCTACGATTTTGATAATTTTTTTTTTTAAATGGTTACAAAACTTTATTATATTAATTATTATCTATCAAAATTAAAAATACACGCAAGATTGATAATACTCTTTTGTCATAATCAAAGATGGTAAGCATAGATCAGTTATTTTATTTAATTACTTGTTAATTTCAAGGTTTAAATAATAAGAAATTATTAATATAATTACAGATACATCATACATCAAGTCTTTATAATTTGTAATTTTGTAAATTATTGAATAAAAATAAAATTTTTAATATAATAATAAATTTTTAATTAAAGAAACCAATAATATGTATAACAAAGTAATAATAAGAATTAAGAAATATAATAAAAAGAATAAAACATTAGTAAATGAATTAAGTTATCACTTTTAAGAGTATAAGTTAATATTACTCATACCATTTCATCTTAAGTTACTTTTATTCCACAATTAAAATATACAATAATAAATTTAAAATGACAATCATAAATTTTGATATATGACTTAAAATCTTAATTCTTAAATCATGGGATGCTAACTTTATATACAATCTAATAAAGGAAAAAAATCTAAAATTTTTAATAAATGCAGGATGAGGGGGGGTGGGTGGCTTATCCCCATCCCAGAATGTTTCGGGGAATACCCACCTCGATTGAGGTGAATCAGACGCTCATCCCTTGCTTGGGTACTATGTGTGGCGGAGTGGGTCCCCGATAGGACGGGTCAAACGCCAATTCTTATGCCCTTCCTCTAATAAAATGTTTTTTTTTTTAATGTGTAATTTTAAATTTCGAGAAACTGATAAAAATTATGATAATTTTCATAAAGTTTTAAAATAATACTCATGTTTTGCTTAAATTAATCTCTTCCCTCTTTATCTTACTAAACTCTAATTATAATTTATTTTAAAATAACAATTTGATCCTTTTACAAAATAATTATATTTACTACTCATAAAGTCATATATATTTAATTGAAACTTTCATTATAATTTGTAAAGTAATAAGTATATTAAATAATTTATTAACAAATTAATGATCATTAAAAAAAAATCAAATATGTAACTTCAAAAATATTTTATGTTAACCATATATAATTTGATTTATTAGTCATAAAGTGTACACCTATAAGAGTATTATTACATTAGATACGGAAAATAAATACAACTTTAATTCTTAAATTCGGAAAAGAAATTAAATATTTGGTTTTTGTTATTGTTGTTTATGTTATATGCCTGTCTTAAAATCCAAAGAAGGATCCACTAAATCATGCTTCCAATTTAATTTCTTTTTTAAAGCAATAAATATACATTTATTTAATTAGATTATTTAAGAGCAAAATTTAGATTACATTTATTCTTTGAATACAAAGACTTTAAAATTTAAAATATTTGAATAGTCCAATTAATATAATATAATGCACAAAAAATAATCATAATAATAATAAGATGAGAAGATGGATTTAACACGCAACGGAATATATATATATATATACACTATTTTCAAACACTTTTCGCGATGCTAAGATAATACCAATTCATATTATATTATTAATTTTGGCATTTATAAGTTGACAATTACAAATTAAAACCCTTACTAAACAATTGGATTGGTGGTTATGATTTGAACGGTTGGGTGACAGAAAATAAATGTGAAACAATAAAATATTAGTTCTAAAATAAACAAAATGAATAATTTGACTCTTTTGCTTAATTGAGTAATTAGGTAATGTTAATTGTCTTAATAAACCTTCTAATTTGTTTTTGTTACATATATGTGAAAGGGAAATTAGGAATACCATATATGATTTCCTGCTTATTTTACAAGGCAAATACTTGACCAATTAGATTTGAGAAGATCACCATGTTGCATTATTTTCAATGAGATCATTTATAAAAATCAATAAGGAGCCTAAAATTATCAAATTACTCGTCAATTTTATAAAGTGATTAATCATTGTATTACCAGTTAAGGGACCTGGTAAGGCCACCGAGTCCCAGGTTGACAGGTCTGGCCGATTAAACCGGTGATATGTCGGTGATCTAAAAAGTTTAAAATCTTGCAAATACGCCGCTAAAAAATATAATCAATCCCTACAAGTTTGAAATCTAGTAAATACACACCCATGATCTGTTTGGGTTTTGACTTTTTCGACCAAATTTTTGTTGATTCTGACGGCCAAAATTTAATCCGACATCACCACCTGAACCACCATCCTCCACTCTACAAAACCCATCTAACCCTAGAACTTGGTAGACCCCGGTTCGCTGGCTGTGACTTGTGTATACCAATTCATATGATATTACTCATTTTGGCGTTTATAAGTTTATTATTTTTTTTTTTTTTTTTTTAGGTAACTAAGGTATCCAAGCCCATATTAGAGCCTACATAATCCTCAAGACAACGAAACATCTTACAAGCCCAATGGACCAGATAATTGTACAAATATGATAGGTATCTCTCCTGTGACTTGAACACAAAACCCCTGGATATAGCTAACCCCAATGACTAAAGGGCATTTATAAGTTGATAATTACAAACTAAAACCTTTACTAAACAATTGGGTTGGTGGTTATGAATTAACGGGTTGGGTGACAGAAAATAAATGTGAAACAATTAAACATTAGTTCTAAAATGAATAATTTGGCTCTTTCGCTTATTTGAGTAATTAGGTCATGTTACTTGCCTTAATAAGCCTTCTAATTTGTTTTTGTTATATATATATGAAAGGGAAATTAGGAATACCATATATGATTTCCTGCTTATTTTACAAGGCAAATACTTGACCAATTATATTTGAGAAGATCACCATCTTGCGTTATTTTCAATGAGATAATTTAGAAAAATCAATAAGGAGCCTAAAATTATCAAATTACTCGTCAATTTTATAAAGTGATTAATCATTGTTTTCAAACATGACCCGTTAAGGGACTCGGTAAGGCTACCAAGTCTCAGGTTGACTGGTCCGACCGGTTAAACTGATGGTTTTTGTGATCCAACAAGTTTAAAATTTTGCAAACACACCCCTAAAACATATGAATCAGTCCCTACAAGTTCAAAATCTAGTAAATACACCCACGCGATATGTTTGGGTTTTGACTTTTCCAACCAAATTCCTGTTGATTCTGGTGGCCAAAATTCAATCTGACACCACCACCTGAACCACCGTCTTCCACTCTACAAAACCCATTTAACCTTGGAACTTGGTAGCCCCCTATTTGCTGGTCGTGACTCGTGTACACCAATTCATCTGATATTACTAATTTTGGCATTTATAAGTTTATTTATTTATTTTTTTTTTTTAGGTAACTGAGGTATCCAAGCCCATATTAGAGCCTACCTAATCCTTAAGGGGACGAAACTATAAGCCCAATGGACCAAGATAATTATACAAATATAGTAGGTATCTCTGCTGCAACTCGAACACATGACCCCTTGGGTATAGCTAACACCAATGACTAAAGGGCATTTATAAGTTAACAATTGCAAATTAAAACCTTTACTAAACAATTGGGTTGGTAGTTATGAATTAAAGGATTGGATGACAGAAAATAAATGTGAAATAATAAAATATTAGTTCTAAAATAAACAAAATGAATAATTG